ACTTTCAGAAAATGGTGAAAATTTGCTTATAAAAATGGCGTCTGAAGGGGTGCAATAAAGTGATGCTCGTATCTCTAATACAAGAGCAGTGAAGAACCTATGTTTGGTATATTTGTCCATTACTCCACCAGACCTATCTATGATGGTAGTATGAACGTATTCTGTTTGCCCGGTTTTCTCTGACAGCCACTCTTAAATGGCATCCGTGAAAACTCTATGGCTTAACTTGCAGACAAAAAGTATAGATTTCTGTTAAAGAATGCTAGTTTGGAAAAATGCAAACTTTTTTGGATGGCGTTTGAGGCAAGTCTTTCATGCTAAGCCAAAAAGGTGGTCAGGTGGTTTGGTGACGGAAAGGGAAATCCTAAGGCATTTTCGTACCTCTTTACAGGAGAAGAATCACGACGATATCTGCACAATTTTGTGTTCCTTGTTGAAGCAATGAAGGGTGAAAGAGACCTGCAACCTGTTGATTTATTCTGCATGTCTTTGCCTCCCTATGCCTTTCACTACGGGATGCTGTCTCACTTTTTTGTAGACTGCAAATTGACCGCTTGATGATCTTGAGGAAGCATGCCAGAATTTCTTTATTTCTTGTGCATTGTTTGTCCAAGTCAACCCCTCAGTATGGACCCTGGGACATGTTGTTCCTGTTCTCACCAGGGAGATGTTTGGTAATCTATGGGAAGGGGTTGGCCCTTAACTCCATGGAGGGTAGTGAAGCTAAACATCAAGCAATTTTCTGGAATGCCTTCAAAACAAACTTCCTTTCATGAGTTTATTTCCGCTATATGGTTGCAGGAAAAAGCGTACAACTTAATCAGTGCCAGCTCATGCAATAAGACGTACAATCCTAATCGGAATTTTCAAAGTGATCATTGCTACTGTGGTCTCCCAGTGGCAGATAAGAGGTGCGAATATTGCAACAGTCCATGCAGAACCCAAATCACTAAAAGTGCTCAAGAAATGTATGTTAGCAATACAAGGAATGGTTAGCAGACGTTAACTCTTGGCTTAAAGCTGACAAACTTAGTCTAAATGTCACGAAAACTGAATTCCTGATCATTGGCTTCTGTCAGAGGCTGCAAACCCAAACTGAGTTTTCCATCCGAGCACATATTAAGGGCAAAGAAATCAAGAGTTCACTCCTCAAAGTCTCTTGGACTAACAATTGACAAAACCCTCTCCTAATGCAAGTATATTGATAACATTTCGAAAAAATCTCAGGAATTGGTGCCTTCACCGGTGTGAGACCATTTATTAACACATTCAAACACAAAAATCTATCAGGCCTTAAAAGAAAATGTGCGGTGCCAACTTTCCTCACTTTCAGCCAATGGCTGAATTGCAGAGGAACCAGAGAGGTGAGATCAGACGTCAGCATGTAAAGGCGCACTCTTGCAGCCACTTCAGTCCATTTTTGATCACACCTCGCCCACCCAGACCAATGATGGCACAAGTCAGATAGACTATAACATCGGTGCCTATGTCCCCCACTCTTTTCAAACAATGTCAAGCGTTATTTTATGTCCTCTTCCAACTGGAGTACACGGATGAAGGAGACAAGGCCAACGGCTTAATGTCTTTGCCCAATGACATGATCATCTGAAGTGAGAAAGGGATTTCACGGCTAGCATGATCTCAGCAGTTTTTTTTAAGACCTCAGTTGATGGACAACCTCCCACTCAGCAGACCGGCGGTCTTCCAACTCAGCTAACCGGGTGGCGGTTACGTAGTGCTGTAGTGTCTGGGATGGTCTCACCCAAACGTTTAAACTACAAAAATTACAAAACCGCCCTGCTAGAGTAATTACTAAATCTAGATATGATGGAAGTGCGGGTCCTCTTTTGGACATGCTTGGATGTGGTAGTGCTTTGATTAGCCAAATAAAACAAAAGGCAGTTGTCACGTTCAAAACACTATGTTCCCTGTTTGTGACTTTTACTACAATATTCGGCGCTCTGAGAACGTCTTCCATGTACCCAAACCAAGGATTGACTATCTTAAGCCAAGTCATGGGTATTTAGGGGCTGTCCTTTGGAATGGACTGCCATCCGAACTACGTAAGCTGTTAACCCTTACAAGATTTAAAAAGGAAAGTAACAACTTATATTCATCAATGGGAACCCACACGGAACACACGTCAACCAGTACTTTAGACTTTAATTATCATATTATACTGACGTTTTAACTGTGTCTAAATAATGTCTATGTATATGTCTACAGCTAACACGTCGAGTCAGACCTCTCATGAAGAAATGGAAGATAAATCTACCGATAGCACAGAGAATAAAGAAACTACAACTGCCACTCCAACATCAAAATGCAACCAATGGTCAAAAAATGAGATAGTGCTTGTAAATCTACTAACATCCAACTCTTTCTCCCCCCTTCAAGATCCACCAGAAATACCTACAAGAAAAGAAACACAAGACAAACCAGAGGGCACTAATTCCCAGCACTCTCCTAATTCCAACGCTACCAACAACAGCTCTTCGTCTACCAATAACTCCAATGAAGTGAACTTTTTATGTCATTGTAACGGAACATTTTTAGACATGGACCAAATGTTTTCTTCAAACCAGGAAGTCAAGTACATTAAACTCCACTGATTGAACATGCTAGATCCTACTTGCAAAGTCAAATTCACAGTGTTCCCCAAATGCTCATTTTAGACACACGAACAAACGATCTGGAGAGAACCAGGTTTCCTCAAGACCCTATTTCACACATCTTCAAATTGATTATAGAGGCTTCAACAAAACTCCTTCAAGTAAAATATTCTACTCACAGTGGTTTAGATACAGAATCTTTAGATAATGATAAAATTAGACGATATACCAGGTCAGGTGCTTTATCACACAACACTTACAGTTCTTGAAAGTTAGGGTTAAGCTGGCCATCAATATGTTACAGCTCTCACATTGCAGGCATGTTCAGATGCAAGACAATACTCCCTGACCTGCGCAATGTAGGTTTTTTACCATCTCCTCCATTACTTGCCTTTTTTATAATTTTCTTTTGGCCTCTTTAACTGAAACGTTCTAGTTTGAAAGATCACTTCTCCCTGCATGACTTCGGTTTTCATGTTTTTTAAGGTGCTTGTTAACAGTTTCGACTCCACATGGCTATAATAGGGGCATTTAAACACACTCGTAATTTTAGGCGTGTATTGCTTAAGACAAATATTCATTTTAAAAAACAAGTAATTTGCCAAGTCCAAATAGTAGAATTTACATATTTTCTCTTTTACTTGCAGTTCCAAAAGATCAAGCTATTATGATGGCGGTTCATTACTTGAGGACGCAACAAGTTTGAATGAATTGAGTAAAATGTTAAACGACAAGTGCAAAGAATTTTGCGTCTTACACAAGAGACACTCGAGTAAAGAAGATTTAATTAGGACAGGCCCCTTTTGAAAAAAAAAGAAAGAATTGATAAGCCATGATAATGTGAACACAGTTTGGAAGAATAAAGATTGTTTATTGATTATTAGAATGATAAAAATAGTCGGTTATATTGAAATGGATTTATATACATGTATTTTTTATCATTAAGATCATTTAATACAATGTTACGACTTTACAATATAATTTTCCTTCACAGACATAAATTGTAACTGGTTTTTAAAGTTGAAAAGAGGTTTTAAAGTGATTAATTACAGTCCAGACATATCTAGAGAAAAGTATTTTCATTTGAATAAAAAAAGTAACGTCTAATCTGCATGCAAAACTAGATGTAGACTACGAGTAGTCCCCCATTTTTCCTCAGGGATAATAGAGCGAGCGAAACACGAGCACGCACGAAAATCACCCCAGGCGAGAAAAGGCTTCATGCGCGCTCGCGTTTCGCTCACTGTGCTATCTCTGAGGAAAAATGGGGGACTACTCGTAGTCTAAACTAAAGGTAGTAACAGTGTATAATAAATTGCAGTTAAAGCCATTGTAAGTAGCTCACTTATTGCTGAGAAATTTACAGCAGTCAAAATCGATTTACATTTTTGATGGGGACAAATCAGTCTCCCGTGTTCAATTTACTAGTTTTTAGGGTCAAAACATTCTGTTTTCGATTTACAAGGTTTTTACAGGATCAAAGGAGTCTCCCTTTTTTTAATTCTCAGTGTTTTTATAGTGTGAAATAATTGATTGTTTTATCGATTTACAGGGGTTTTAAACATTCTTACCAAGGTCGTAGTAAGCTATCCTGTTAAAGGTTATTCCATTGATTTTCACTTCACACCCTCTACTGGGCATAATATTGCGACATCCAAGAAGGCAGCAGTTCTTCTCTTGCTAGCACGAAAAGAACAAACAAGGGCTGCTTTTGCAGAGCTAAAGCCTTTACTCGCATGCCGCAGATCAGCTGAGAGCTTGCTGGTCTGATATCGAAGAAGAAAATGAAACAAAATGTACCTAATTTCGAAGTCTGCAGTGGTTTTTCACTTTGGGGCTGTCGAGTTGTGAAATTTAATGTCCTAGCTGAGGCTTTGAAAGGGGGCTGTGAAGCCTGTGGGCCAGCTCTAAGGCTCTCGAACTGCATTAACAAGACAGTGTCGCTGCTGTTCAATTGTTACCCAAAATCAGAGTTTGGAGAGATGAATATTTGTCAAACAAATAAGATCCACCATAGAACTGAAACTAAGTGAGGGAGACCAATCTTTGGTCTTTTGATGAAATGACACAGACAAGGTTGCAGACCTCGAAAACTATGCTTCGACGAAAAAAAAATAGTGCCTAGTCCATCCAAGGGCTCCACACGACTTTTTCCAACTTTATTGGTTTAGCCTATTCCCTTGTGTTTTTCACACACCCAACATTTGCTAAAGAACATGGCAAGACACGCTCTGTTGTGCTGTTTTTGCTAACGAAGCTTCAAGCAATGAAATACAAAGGCTTAGAAGACCCCAAAAACAAGTTGTTCGGCAACCTGCTACCTTCTGAGGTTCAAGTAATCATTATGTTCTGGACCCAATGTTTCATGACCAATGAGAGAAGGAAAAAATGAATGAAGAATTTACACGCCTTCCCCGTTGCCTTGGAACAGACATTCCAATGTTCGGGGCATTTTCGTTTTCAAGCGGTTACAAAAGTTTTTCTTCTGCTATGGAAAACAAACCTAATCCTCGCTTTTACCGTTGTCCTCACCGTTTCAGAAGGAAGACACAACAAGTGTCGGTAAGTATGTTCATCAATTTCCCTTCAGTTTTATTTCATGCTTACCACTAAGATTTTTTCTTTTTCTTGTAGATTGATATGATTGTCGCTATAGGAAACAAAGATAAACTACAGTAAAAACCCGCGTATAAGAACCTAGGTTTTTCCAGGTTAGCCTAAACAGGTTCTTATATAAATGGTATTTAGTGTAAAATTAGGCTAACTAGGTTCTTAAGGTACCCGCCCAGGCAAATTTTCATGTTTTCAGATCTTATTTATTTTAAGCCCAATTGTAGTTTATGTCATCTAATATTCAAAAAAAAAGTTTTTTTCTGAATACAGAGAAGAGTAAATGCTGCAGAAGGTTGCAAAGTTTTGCATTTAAACCGGAAGTCAGCCCCTTTGACCGAGGAAGGATCTGGGCTGGTTACTAGGTGTTCATGCTGTGCGCGCAATATTATCCAGCGGTTTCACCGAAAAGATTTGCTGGACATCAATCTGGAAATCAAGATGGCGGCAAATAGAGGCATTCTTCTCGCCAAGCAAGAGGCCGCATTTGAAGCGTTCCGTGCTGAATTCACAAAAGAAGGGTATGTTCATTGCCGTCTTTTCATTGATTCTCTTTTTTCTTTATTTCATTGACATTATCTTATTTTATTGCAGTCTCACCATTCCAGAAGGACTGATAGCGCTCTTGAAAACTACGAAAGTCAAGGCCAACCACTCTCCGGACGAGAGCCGAGCACGGCTCTACAAACGCCTTTGGTGTATTTTGTGGGTAAGTCGCTATACTATTCGAAAAGGCCATTCCTTCAGTATTAAGTAGAAGAGGTCCTTCACTAGTCAATGCGTTGGCAGTGCTTACAAAGTATAAATATTATCACTTGTCGGCTCTCGTGCGTGTGAAAATGTTACTTTTCTTTAGCGGCTAGTAATCCATGTAGTGTAACTAATTTCTTCAAATACACTGCTACTTTTCTTGTGTGAACCTTCCATGCAGTGTCAATGATTTATTCAAGGCAACAGACATTTTTAGTTAGATGAAATGTTCAACAGTAACTTCATTTTTACTAATTCATTTTGTTCACCTCTTTTGTATAGCATGGAAGTAAAAAAACGCTTGGAGCTGGTGCAGGAGAATGGCCTACATATGTTTATCCTGAAGCGTTAAAAAGGGTCGTTAGAGAATTTATACCTGGGGATGAAGTAGATAGGCCAGACCCCACACATAAGAGGGTAAGTTTAGTGTTTCTGTGCTTGTTAATACAGGATTGATTTTCCCTTTTTAAAAAAACTGTCAAATATTGTTTGTTTTGTAGGGTTCTAAACAAAACAGTCACTTTCAATATCAATGGTAGTTATCACTATCATGTGGTTTTTTTTTTTCTTCTCAACTTTGGATTTATAACTGCAAAGATCTTGGTTGATTAACCCACTTCTTATTTATAATGTGTGTCTTCCAGGTTTACAAGGTGACAATGGCAGACCTTGCTGCGGCAACATGGCCTCAGTACAAAACAAAGAAAACCCATTGACAAAAGCTGATGATGATACATATTTACATATTTCATTATCTTTCCCGTGGATTATAATGAATATAATATCGATTTTTATTACAATTTTTGAATCAAAGATGTTTGAATAAAAAAGATGTATAATTTTTACAGAGAGATACGAATATTTATAAAAAAAGCCATAAACGAAGCAGAAATGGAGATAATATTCTACCACATGTGTACTCCATGCGAATGATTTTCATAATTATTTAGAGAGCTGAGATGTTTGGATAAAAAATATAATTTTACTCAGCAAGTGTTATATAAATATAGATCTATAAGCCCAAAAATTTGTGGAGAATCATTTGTCACTGATTGTAATTCACACTTTTTTGATTTAATTCATTTTTTTAAAAAAAAGAATTTGATTTTTTTACCCCAGATAAGCAGAAAACATAGACATATTTGAAAATGTTTTTTAAGATGTAATAAAGAGCTATTATTGAAGCAATATTATTTATGTAATAGATGAAATAATCAAACTTTATTAATATTATAAAAAACGTAACCCAAGGAAAAGATGTAATTTTTTCAAGAGAGAAAATTGGTTTTACATAAGATATCAATGTTTGTTATCTGCTATGTCATATTTTTTAAAAAAGCTCGAAGTAAATAAATAAAGTCTATTTTCAATTGCAACCGTGTCAGATGCAGCAAAGGAAACTCTGAAGTCAAAACTAGGATTGAAATTTATGCAAAAAAATCCCCTTCCGACTGAAACATGTAAGAATGATGAAGTCCCTCCTTTACATAAAAACCTTAATTAGTTTTTATTTTTGGGGTTCAAGGGACAGTCTGAATGGGATACTCTTTTGTGTGTTTTGGAGCCACATCGGCAGGTTCTCCCACTGATGACCAGTATGGCCCCATCATCTTCCTCTGTCTCTTCCATGGCAACCCTTGCTGCTACAATAAGTGCAGGATCCACCTCATCCTCCTCAGCATCATCATCCTCTTGGTCGTTTCCATATGTATGACGGACTGCTTGCTGCTTCACCCACTTCTTCCTAGCCTCTTGATCCTTAGCCCGCGCCACTTTCAGCTGGATACGTGTCTTCTTCCTGTGGTCTGTCTTTCCCTTCTCAATCTCTTTCATGCGATCCACTGCTGCCTTCTGAACGGCCTCAATTACTGCAGGGATGACAGGCAGGTTCAGCATCTCATAAAGGTCAATCACCCAGTGGTAGCCCCGTCCCCTGACTTTATAGCACCAGGACATGTTTCCTTGGCAGAAACCACAGTTGGTTGCAGTAATGTAGTGTAACCTAAGAAATAAGAATAATTACCCATTGATGACTGGTACAGTTATAGATTCTCTTTACAATTTGCCTTGAAGGGATAAATTGGTATCAGTAGTTGCATGGAGAATTATTGCATGAAAACCTTCAACTAATAACTGATCATGTAAGCCCGGACATTTTCCAGATTTTCAACATCAAATTGGACCTTGAATTTAAAAAGGTATCATCCAGGGAAAAAAATTTCAGCTCAGACCTATGACGAGCAAAAGATTTTTTCCATGCTAATTATTTCAATTGAAGGTTGTGATAGTAACCCATATAATCATCCGAATATGAGCTTGAGACTCTTTCACTTACCGACAAAGATTTTGATCCTTAGCACGGTAGTCAGGCAGGACAGTAAAATGTGCCTCGCACAAGTTTGAATGGCCTCTCCCCATGGTTGGATGGATCACGCTATCTGCATCTTCTGCACGGCGCTCACACTCAATGCGGTATTGCAGCCAGTGGTAGTCACAGGTAAGGGGGTTCTTCGTCTTGTACGGTTTCCCCTGACATTGCAGTTCTTCATCTTCTTTACATTTCTTACAGGAACATACAATTTTTGGGTGAAATCCACACTCACCCCCATCCCACTCATGGATGTCCCTGGAATGATATTCTCCTAAAGCTCTCAATCTCCTTGCATACTCTTGGGGGGTACTGCACTGTTGAAGGCAGCAGAAATGATTTACACGGGCATTTGTCAGGAAGTTGTCCCTGAGACACCCACATCCAGCTTTGTGCTTTTCACACTTGCACACAACACTTTCTCTTTATATTTCCTCTTGATATCAGCAGAAAACACTTTTTTCTTTGAGACTTCTTTTAGCTTGTTGTAGTGGGCTCTTCCAACATGCCCACCACACTTGTACACTTTTCCTTCTTTATGGAACTTGCTAACTGCCAGGGCAGCACTCGAATCTCCATCCTGCCAAACAACCTCCACTTTACAGCCCTCATCCCTTGCCTCCTTGTAGCACTCCTCTGCAAGTATGCCCTCCATGGACTTGGCCGTCCCCTCAAACAATTCATCCTCCAAAACACCATCTTTACCTCGCATACACTTATGGCCATACCACAGCAAACCACCTGTCAAGTAATTCTTAATGATAAAGGAGCCATTTTTGCTGAAATGGCCCCTTGTATGCCATACACCATCCGATGTCACCACTGCCCTCTTCCAACAGCCCAACTCACCATTGCTCATTTCTTTCATCCTTTTTTTCTCTTCATCACACATATCATTCAAAATCTCCGTGACTTTAGGATATACCAGCTTTATGGTTTGATAGTATGGGTTCTTCGAAATGCAGCTAATGCCAAGACACTGCCTTAATGTTCTGGAAAATTTGGCATAGCCATGACCAGTTATAAAAAATGCTACAGCCAGAGCAAGTCCCACAACTGTCCGCTTTGAGCCTTCAACAAGGGCTGAGCCACAAAAGTTCACAGTACGCAGTTTGCATCCATTGCACGCAAATGTAACATTCATGGACCCCCCAAGACCTGTTGGTTCAACTTTTGACACAACAAGAAAACCTGTTGAAAGAATGTAGTTCTCCCTATTAGTGTATAAAAAAAAAGCTGGTAATTAGTGGCTCATCGTTGGCGTACATTTGAGAACCTGTTGAACTCACTGTTGACATAACACAAATAAAACAAAGGATCTGAAATAATAGAGCCAAGTAAACAATAGCGAAAAAAAAAAGTTCACATGTTCTTTCAGTGAGGTAAACCTTGATAGGTTTTCTTTGATCTTGTAGAAAAGTAAATAGTTTATTTCATTACTATTCAAATAGATCTCAGATGAATTGTTTTATTTCTCAGATAAATTGTTTGATATGGTAATACTATATTGATGCAAAAAAGCCCTTTCAGGGAGCAACTGTATGTATGTATAATAAGGGAAAATGAGGAGTGTAGAACAAAATACTGGTCTTTACACCTAAAACCATTCAAGTGAGCTCTTTAGATAACACACAGCCATATAATGATGAGTAAAAGATTACAAGTCCTACAAGAAGCAAATGTACCATAGCAGTACATAAATATATCAGAATAAACTCAGCAGTGAGTGAGGATTTACACATTTACATAGGTTTTGCAAACAAGCATGGATAAAATCAGACTATTGTTTGAATGGCTTGCATTGTGAAAGTCTTTACTTACTATTTGTAAAGACTATGCATGCATGGAAGTTATGTCACGGTGAAAAATTTGGCTCACTACTCGATCAAATAAATGAATTTACCTACCATTGCATTCAGGAGTTGAACACTGAGACGGGGCATTTATTTGTTCCACCATATCCATAAGTTGTGTGGACTCGCAGACAAACAATCGCCTCTCGATTTCAAGACAGTCTTTGTTTTTGTCTGATGACTCATCCGGCTCATCAGATGACTGTAGCTTTCGCTTTTTCGCATCTCTATCGTCCTCACAGTAGTCTTCATCGTCACCATCTGAGTTATCCTCCGTAGAACTTGCCGATTTGTCATAAAGACAATCCTTTAGGTTACGAGAAACCAATTCTTTCTCAACACTTTTTTGTGACCAGTACTTCGTTTTCCCAGGACTGACATAGCTCACTCTTTTGCGAACACCTCGCTCACGATCACTGCTCTTGTATGGCTCTTCCCTCCAGTTAGCTGCCAAAGCAAACTTTTGTCTACTTCCCACTCCAACTCCTCTTATTTTCGCTGCTTTTTGAGCTTTTTCTTTTAGTAATTTCTTTCTTTCGCGTTTCGATAGCTTCTTCGGTCCCATATTGCGAATTGCTCATCTCGCGTTACCGGATGTGATGCATGCTGTTATTGGCCCCAGCATGATGTTCCATAGCAACCGATCAACAAAACAACTTCAGGGAGGGTGGGGGGGAGGGTAGAAAGAGGCTAAACTACGTCTTCAGGCCTATTGATCAGCGGAAATCAATTCAATATGGTGGCAAAAATCGGAAAGAAGCATTTTAGCCACGGTTTTATCGATATGTGCTTCAAGTTTTCCTTTCCAGATGCCTTTTATGCAAAAAATGTCATGAATGGACTGGCAAATTTCTGTTTTATGAATCAACGAAAAGCCCGTTTTCCCCCAAACTTGGCAGGATCTTTCGTAAGGTAATAACAAAGAAACGTGTGGTTGGGGGAAGACACTCATGCAAATGACGAAATGTTCCAGTCCCTGGAAGTTAATTTTTAGTCCCACTGCAATAATTTCAAGGATTTTTCAACTAAGGTCTTCCCCAACCACAGAAAACTTACTTTTATTTATCTTTATATATGCACGTTTTTGCTTTTACATTTCTTTGAACTATTACGGAGAAAATGAAACAACAACAACATGATATTAATTTGAGGAGGACTCGGAAAAAAATCCGAGTCCCAGATGGGATTTGAACCCACGACCCTCCGTGATCTAGTCGGATGCTCTAACCACTTGAGCTACTGGAGACTCTATGGTGAGCAAGGGCCAATTTGTGGGTCTCGACCGGAACCGCATCACGCGGCTACACAGCCAAGTAATGATAGGCACACAAGAAGTGAAGAACTCACTAACAGCATCGCGCTGTCACCTTAAAGCATATCCAAGATGCGGCCAACCAACCTCCAAAGTGAGTATATTGAAGATGAAACAACAACAACATGATATTACGGAGAAAGATGCAAATTATAATATTAGGCATAGGTTAATGATTAACTA